ACACCCATGACACAGAGGATAGCGCAGATGGTATGATAGACAGCCATAGGTGGGTGAGAGCAGGGGAGGCCAATAAAATTAGACACGCGCCACCTCAACCAAAGGCCTGGCAGAACAGCTCCATTTTACAGGCCCTGCGGAATTGTAATAAGTCCCAAAGGGCCCTGAGCACGTTACATGAAAAAGATAAAGGTTTCCCTTGCTTGAAAGCCAGTTGAATCCAACTCTAGGGTGGTGGCAGTGCTCATCTCCGTTTCCAAGCCAAAGAGCCAGCGCTGTCCAAAGACGTCTCTGTGGTCATGTGGCCAGCATGACTAGATGCTGAGGCGCACGGACCGCTGTTACCTTCCCATCAAAGTGGTATCTATTTATCTACTTGCAATTTCTTGCTTTCAAATTGCTTCGTTAGCAGGAGCCAGGGTTAGAGATGGGAGCTCACTCTGTCATGCGACACTAGGGTCTCGAACTGCCGAGCTAGCGACCTTCCGGTCAGCATCTCAGCATCTTAACCTCTGAGCCACCACGGCCCCCTGATCTCATTGTTGTTGTTGTTCAGTCGCACAGTCGAGTCCGACTCTCCGCAACCCCATGGACCACATCACGCCAGGCCCCCCCTGTCTTCTGCTGTCCTCCAGAGTTTGCTTAATTTCGTGTTTGTTGCCTCGATAACACTGTCTAACCATCTTATCCTTTGCTGTCCCCGTCCTCTTTGACATACAATCTTTCCCAGCACCAGGGTCTTCTCCAGTGAGTGCTCCCTTCCCATTTGGTGGCCAAAGTACTTGAGCTTCAGTATCTGGCCTTCCAAGGAACAGTCAGGGTTCCCATGGCAAAGGATGAGAACATGAGAACATAAGAGACGCCAACATTGGATCAGGCCAAAGGCCATCCAGTACGACATTCTGTGTCACACAGTGGCCAGAAATACCAGGTGCCATCAGGAGGTCCACCAGTGGGGCCAGGACATCAGAAGCCCTCCCACTAGTGTTGACCCCCCCTAGCACCAAGAAGACAGAGCATCACTTGCCCCAGAGCACCTATCTATACCGTGTGGCTAATAGCCACTGATGGACCTCTGCTCCATATGCTTATCTAATTCCCTTTTGAAGCTGTCCATGCTTGTAGCCGCCACCACCTCCTGTGGCAGTGAATTCCATGTGTTAATCACTCTTTGGGTGAAGAAGGACTTCCTTTTATCCGTTCTAAGCCCTAAGCGCTTTAACCTTTCCTCATAGGGAAAGTGTTCCAACCCTTTTATCATTCGAGTTGCCCTTTTCTGCACTTTTTCCAAAGCTATAATATCCTTTTTAAGGTGTGGTGCCCAGAACTGCACACAGTATTCCAAATGAGGTCTCACCATTGATTTATATAGGGGCATTATTATATTGGCTGATCTGTTTTCAATACCCTTCCTAATAATCCCCAGCATAGCATTGGCCTTCTTTATTGCAGTCACACACTGTCTCGACATTTTCAGTGAGTTATCTACTACAACTCCAAGATCTCTCTCTTGATCTGTCTCTGCCAGTTCAGACCCCATCAATGTGTATTTATATTTAGGATTTTTGGCTCCAATGTGCATCACCTTGCACTTGGCCACATTGAACCCCATTTGCCATGTTGACGCCCACTTGCCCATCTTTGACAGATCCCTTTGGAGTGCCTCACAATCCTCACTGGTTTTCACCACCTTGAACAACTTTGTATCATCCGCAAATTTAGCCACTTCACTGCTTACTCCCATCTCCAAATCATTAATGAACAAGTTAAAAAGCAGTGGACCAAGTACTGATCCCTGCGGTACCCCACTGCTTACCACCCTCCACTGGGAAAATTGCCCATTTATACTCACTCTCTGTTTTCTATTAATTAGCCAGTTTTTGATCCATAAAAGGACTTGTCCTTTTATCCCATGATTTTTGAGCTTACTTATGAGCCTTTGATGAGGAACTTTATCAAAAGCTTTCTGGAAGTCAAGGTAAACAATATCTATTGGATCCCCCTTGTCCACATGTTTGTTCACCCCCTCAAAGAACACTAATAGGTTAGTGAGACAAGATCTTCCCTTACAGAACCCATGTTGAGTCTGCCTCAATAGGTTTTGTTCATCTATGTGCCTACTAATTCTTTCCTTAATAATGGTTTCCACCAATTTACCCGGTATCGACGTCAGACTGACTGGCCTGTAATTTCCCAGATCTCCTCTGGAACCCTTTTTAAAGATGGGAGTGACATTAGCTACCTTCCAGTCCTCAGGAATGGAGGCAGATTTTAAGGAAAGATGGTTAGACAGTGTGATCAATGCAACGAACATGAAATTAAGCAAACTCTGGAGCACGACGTCAGCCAGGAGGGCCTTGTGTGATGTGGTCCATGGGGTCGCAAAGAGTCGGACTCGACTGTGCGACTGAATAACAATAACATCCAGAACTGTACAAAGTATTCCAAATGAGGCCGCACTAGAGATCTATACAGGGGCATTACATTATCGGCTGTTTTGTTCTCAATCCCTTTCCTAATAATCCCTAACACAGGGTTTGCCTTTTTCACCACTTCAGCACATGGGGTTGACCAGGGCTCTTTTTGTAGAAAAAGCCCAGCAGGAACTCATTAGCATATTGGGCCAAACCCCTGACAGCACAGCTCATTAGCACATTAGGCCACACCCACGTTACCAGAAGTGTGGTTATCCAGCCACACCAACCTTTTGCTTGTTGTTCTGTTTACCTTGTTTGTTGTCAAAACCCAGGACTTTTTTTGTAGCAGGAACTCCTTTGCATGTTAGGCCACACACTCCTAATGTAGCCAATCCTGAGTTTCTGCTGTTGGGTGTGGCCTATTATGCTAATGAGTTCCTGCTGGGCGTGGCCAACTTGGGAGCCAGCCGGAACTCCGTT